AGGAATTCAGGCAAACATTCTCACTGCAAACTACCTGCTGTCCACACAATGTGGATCCAGAGCTAGGCAGCCAGCAAAGAGAGTATGCTCAGCTGGGGCATGAAGCACAAGCATTCTAGCCAGGAAACTCAAACTGCTCTCTACACTCTGCTTATGTCTGAAGATAAAGCATGCTTCAAAGTTCCTGGAGAAATAAACTGTCTCTAACTTGTCTGGCCCCTGATCTTAAAAGTAATTCCCATGGTAGCACTGGCAAGAGGAGTTTAACATGGATCAATACGCACAACATTGTGTCACAACAGCAATCAAAACTGACTGCAACACTGCAGCTACAGCAAGAGAAAACATCTGAAGTAGGTGGCAGCATTCTTACAGGGGTAAGAATGTCTTTTCATATATGGATTCCTAGGGGTAATCAGAAAATGAAGACACACAAAACCAGATGTACTACCAAAACCAGTAAAATAACTTGCTGCCATGTGGCTGCTACAGGACACAAAAAGAGATCGAAGAGCTGCATGAGGATTTTTTATAACAGTGGCATTATTTAGCTTTAGTAAACTCCAGATATCAATGTCATGTAATAAGCAAAGGTAAAACATAATAATAAATGTGTCAATATCAATGCCAATTGTGCATGTATGAGAAAATGTATCAAAGAGGTGTTATTAAATGCTTCCTCCACCAAGAGCTGGACCTACACTTCTGTGCTGATTGCTCTATGTTATTTCACAATGTCACATCCCAACAATAAGAGGAATGCTTTGAATTCCCTTTTTTAAAGCTAACTTGAAATACATGCAGAAAACTTTCAGTCATGTATTGCTACACTGGTATTTGGTTAGTAACAAAAATATATAGTAAGTCTCCTTTAAAAAGTAATTAAACAGATTGACAGAGTGTCAATATGCCTTATTCATTAACAGCTATATGAAGAATAAATTATATATAAAACTATAATTCTGTTGAGGTTAAAAAACTTAAAGAGGATGCAAAATAAAAAATGTATTGGAGAATAATGATAAAGTGATTAGATCTTTAAAAATATCAGCTAATTACTTATGCTGTAGTCCCTGTAAATACAGGTTGACAAGAATGCAGACACAGTAAAAAAAATATTTCTTTCTTCACAAGCCTTTAAAATTCACATATATTACATATATGAAATAACCAGAATGTTCTAAACACAAAACCATTAATATTTTACCCCTTAGCTCTGGCACCAAGTCATGACTTGAGTGTCCATCCTTCCTGAAATCCCTAGTAGAGTAACTGTACAGACAGGTAAAGAGTGACTAACAGCTCTGAGCTTCATTAAACTCATACAACATAGACTAAGTGAGAGGTAATTACGTCCTGATGGAAAGTGAAAGACAGACAATTCCATGGGGGAGCCTGTGAACCATGCCAAGGTTAGTACAAGGAAAGGAAACTGTGAGTGTTCCATGAAACCCAAGTCCCCTAAGGCTATTATTTTATATACTAAAAAAAATTACAGATTTTAGTTCCTGGCTTGATTTTTCCAAGATATTTTGCAAATCTCCTTTGAAAATCACACCTTAAAGATTATCCAGTTTAACCATCCCCCCAGTACAACCACGACCATCCCTGAACCATACAGATGCCCTTTGAACACTTTCAGAGATGATAACTTCACACCTTGCCTGGGCAACTTATTTCAACTACTTTTTCTTTGAGAAAGAAATTAATATGTAATCTGAACCTCCCCTGGCACAGCTTAAGGCCATTTCTTCTCATTTGTTGATTCAACAGATGGCAGAAGAAAACAACCTCCATTTCACTACATCCTCCTTTCAGGCAGTTGTAGAGAGTGATGAGGTCTCCCCCTCAGCCTCTTCTTCTCCAGGCTAAACACCCCCTGCTCCCTCAGCCTTTCCTCACAAGACATGTTTTCTAGACCATTTGCCACTTCTGTTGCCTGTCTACAGACATGCGCCTCCATGGCCTTTTAGAAGTGAGGGGCCCAAAAGTGAACACAGTGCTTAAGGTGTGACATCACCAGTGCCAGTGCAGGGGCATAACCATGTCCCAAGTCCTACTGGCCACACTGTTCTTGATACAGACCAAGATGCCACTGGCCTCCTTGGCCACATTTTTCTAAAAAGATAATTGAACAATGAGATAACAAAGTTCAACTAGGTATTAGAGGACACTAAGATTAAGCTACCAGTGGGAAAACATATTTCAAAAATTATTACTACATCTGTGACAACTCCTGCTAACATTCCTGCTACACAGATGTTAATTACTTTTTGTTTTGCTCATCTGATACATATTATATATCAGGGAAATTATTTGTAACTTTCAAGGTAATTTCAATTATTTGTTACCTTTCAAGTTTCTTTACCTTGGACACTGGAAGAAGAGATTGTATCCCTGAACATATCTCTATAGTTCCAAGTCACATTGCATAATCTGATAAAAGGAGACTTGCACACCTTGCTGGTACTATATTTTGACAGGATTGCAAAAAAACTTTTTTTTTATTATTATTACTTATTTGATAAGCTATTCAACATTTACCCATAAGAAAAATCCATAAAAGTTGCCTATCTTACTTTGAGATGAATGCTTTACACAAGACCCTTTTTTTACATTCTGAGTATAAAAAGAACATGGGATGACTGCTCAGATTCAGAATGTGACTTTTATGTGCAAGGTCACTATATTCAAGAAAACTTTTCCAGCTGGAAACTTGATCACAGCAAGGTTTTTATTATGCCAAATTGTCAGTGGCTGTAGCTTTACAGTTAAAAATAGAAAAGGCAACAGCTAACACAAATTAACAGTGTTGCAATCATCAGACAGCAACGACAAACCATGACCTGGCTTTTCATGACCCCTTGAAATGCTACAATTATTATTGTCTTCAAAGAAAGCTCAACACTGACTTATGCTAAAACAGGAAATATTTTAAAATAATGTCAAAATGTCAAAGCAGTCCAACTTCAGCAATTACTTTTATCATGGCTATATTCCTCTTTTGAGCTAACGCTCTTGAGGTTTCTAGCTGCACTTCTGATTTCCTATCACTCTCCAGTTATACAAATAAAATTTCTTCATTTATATCTATCTGTATATACATACATGAACATGGAAGAAATATATTTGTATTTCAACGCCATTGCCTTTTTAAATACACAAACTTTAGGTTTATAAACTATTTTACTGTCAAAAACCTGCACCTAAGAATGTGACTCTTTCAGGAATTTCATACAAATTCCTCACACTTGCTCAAAAGTGCATGTGAGGACATGAGCGTGAAGATGTTGCTCATCTTTTAACATGACACTTCTAGCACACAGAGATTCCAATGTGAATACCAACTACTCAAAGTAGAAGACTACCTATCATTTCATGAGTCTGCAGAAGTAAATTAAGTCTTCACCACATAATTTTAAAAATGTATTTTAGTATGATCAAGGAGAAAGCATTTTATTATAAGTGCTGCAACAATCTGTTTGTTTTCTGCACTAGATTCCTGCACTGATTTAGTAATTCACCATAAACTTTTAACTTTCCAACAAACTTTGACATGCAGGAAAGAAAAATATTTCAGAATTTATCTTCTTGTTTTGTTTTAAAAACTGCTTGATCAAATTTGAAAAGATTTAAACTCGATAGTGTTAAAATAGCTTGTAGTGCGGATGGTCAAAAAATCCCTAGATATGGAAACAGTACTTTCAAATATTCTACTGGAATGCAATCTTCTGCACAGAGAAAAATTTTGTGCTTTTTAAAAGCTATATTTTAAAATTGCTTAAAGAGTTATGCCTAAGTATTTTTCCAAGTACAAATGAATAATTATTCTAATAGGCAAAAACATATATGGCTATCCTATTTTAAAAGCACATTGTGCTAAAAAAAAGAAAAAACTGCGCAAAAAAGCCCCCTCTGAAAAAAGGCAACCTTCCAAAAGATTATCTCAAACTTTTCTGTACGTGACTATTAAAATTATACAGTTGTCAAAATATTAATTCAACATGTTCACCCACTAGTGGAAACTTAGAAGAATAAATGTATTTGCACAATATGCCTCACCAGACAACAGTTTCAGATAATTTAATGCATTACAGATCGTCAACAGATATAGAACGATTTCAGACACAGGTTTTATGCTGGTTTTGCTGGCTGATCTTCCATTTCTGATAAACTAATGAAGAAATGTGCTGTGACATAGGAATTGGAATTTTATAACTAAATACAGCAAAATATAGATTATGAAGGTTAAAATCCAGAGAGGAAGACTGCACTGGTCCTAGCAGAAACACTGTTATTTTAAACTGTGTAGAAGTTCTCTCTTTTCTTTTGATATATAAGTCACTATTTTGCTGCCAGCTAGTGCACACTCCTACCACAGTTTCCAATGAATGCAGATGTTCTTTCAAGTGTACATCTGAAATACTTTGCTGATAGTAAAGATTCTAGCCAGAGATTGACTATTAAAGGATGTGACTTTTAGACTCACCTACCCCCCTACCAACACCAAAACAGCTACTCTAAGTTCTAGGTGAAACACAGTCCAAATTTCCAGTAAACTTTAAAAAAATACTAAGAACAAAAGATAAGAAAAACCATACATTTACATGACTAACCCAGTTCCCTCCTAGGAGAGACATTATACATAACAAATACAGTAAACTGCTCTTGCTTATTATTTAGTGGTGACAAGAAATCAAAAGATGCTTGGGGCAGTCATCACGACACATTTGATTTGGGCAAACAAAAAAGTCTAAGAGCCAGATATAATTTCAGAAAATATGTTTTCTAACCAAAAACATCAGAAAGAGAAGGCACCAGTCCACTCACTGCAGAATATATATAAAAAGTTTGACTATCTGAACCAGCATTCAAGTAAGTATATACGTTTTTTCCTCCAAAATTATTAGATTTTTATATAACATGGTAAAGAAAAAAGAAAAAAGCCTAGAAGCTAGTACTTGAAGAAATGAGGTACATAAAGTTACTGTAATACTTACCACTGTGAAATTCATAACCTTCAAAATCCATATTGTCATTGCTAAATTAACAATCATGGTAACCAACAGCAGAAGGACAAAGAAGTATAAGCACCTCTTTCGCCATCCATAAATCCCTACTGGGTAAAACTGAGGATGTTCAGTCCTTGGAAGGCTGTTCTGTTGTGTTGCTAATATATACTGCTCTCGTGTCATCTGTAAAAGAAAGATGTAAGCATAAGTAGGGAAATGAGAGGTCTGTTTTTCACACATAATATTACATTACAATTATCTCAGAATGTATAGAAAATCAGTTTCTATGGGCACAGAAGAGATACATTCCTCTAGCATTAACCACATCAATGTTATTTGTACTAGGCATCTAGCATGAATTTGTTGGATTTTATGACTTTAATGTAAACCTTTGGTTTCTCTTTCAAATTGGATTTGCATTTCAAATTTATCAGCATGAAACTATTAAAAATATAAAAGCAATCTATACATGTATTTTACACTTTAATTCCGAATATTGTTTTATTGTCCTTTATGAGATCATTCAGCAAAATTTGGGTCTGGAGAAAGAGTAATGTACCTTTTCTTTTGTACTGGTTTTGGCTGAGATAATGCCAATTTTCTTCATATAACTTGTAGCCAGTAGACTCTTGTACAAACAGAAGACAAATCTCACCTTTCTAAAATACATCTTTCATAAATGAAGTTTTCAGTCTTTTATTATACTTAGCAAATTAAATTAATAATTGATAGTATTATACATGTCTCCTTATTTTACAAAAAAAAAAAACCCAAAACCAGATTTTGCCCTTCAAGAGATGGATACAATTATAATATGTTGAATTCCTGAACTAGTTTAAATTCTTCTCACACACTAACAAGCAGTATTTGCAAACTGCTTAAACAACTTTCAATTATTACTTCCTTAAAAAAAAGCTATTTGTGACATTTAATAAAACACTGTTTAATTTTTTTTCCTTCATAACTGTATTTTACAGATTTATATTCATATTCAGCTGTCAAATTGCCTTTAGATGGGAAGGTATTAAATTTTCTCTCTGACTTAAAAATTAAATTAAAGCATTCCCATTCTGTTTATGTAAGAGTTCTTTCTGTAATATGCCCATTAGAAATGTTGTTTTAATAGGCTTTGTCCTCAGGAGGAATAAGACAATACAAAACAAAATGAAAAAATCCAAAACAAAAAACTACAAACTCAACAAACTTATAAACCAGATAAAAGCAATTTTGAGCTTAAAAGCTGCCTTTCTTTTGACTAAAAAAAAGTAAAAATACACAAAAATGAGTCAGTTGATCCAATGAGAAATAAAAACCAGATTACATTCATTTGAAGGATCAAAGAAATGTTGATTTTATAAGATTTTTAAAATGTGAAGCTCAAAAATGTTCATGTGATTATCTGTGTTGCTGGATATTTATCCAAATCAACACTCTTTAGGTTTTATCATTCTTCTAGTGAATGAGATATTAATGGAATAAATTAAAACACAGTGAATAATTAGAGCCATAAGTCATAGAACACACTATATATACTGTCACATATTGTGACAGTATATATATCACTGAAATAAGTCAAGACAGAAATAAAGAATTTAATAAGCAGGTTTTATGTAATTTAGCAAACAGGCATTTTGTCATTTTTATTTTTTTCAATCATGATTTCTTCTCTTTGCCCTCAATTTCAATTAAATGCAATGTTTCACAGTTTATTTATTTAGTGAATTTTACAAACAAAATTTCCCACAAAGACATTTCTCAATCCTCCCAAAGCAAAGTATGGCCAGGTTTTAAGACCTTGCATCATCTTCTTATCATATGCTGGCAGTTTTCATCCTAATTGTGTTAAAATGCCTTATAAATCTTGAAACTGAGTACACAAATGGGCTATCAACTTTCTCCTTATAATGAGTTTCTACACATTATTTAGCCAGTCATTGTAACAAAAATGTGATGTATAATTAAATTTTGAGATTTAAACGGGTTAATTTTACATAATTTCTATTTTCTTGATTTAACTTTATAATATTACATATGAAAAAATTATGTTTGTTAGAAATAGCTGAAAAGCCAACTTTCAGACCATGACAATGTCAGAAGTAGCACTGGTCCTAAAACTATGAATATAGCCCCATGGAACAGACCCTTTGCAACACAATTATTAAATACAATAACATTTTATTCCATCACCACAGCCAGGCATCCCTCATTTCCCCCTGTACACTGTTGAACTCTGTGAGCCTTGGTGAAGCCAGGGGACAAATCCCCACCACAGCCTGTGGAAGATCCCATGCTGCAATAGCCTGAGGGGCCAGAGTTGGTGACCCCATGGAGAGCCCATGCTGAAGCAGGAGCCTCTCTGGACCTGGGAACCCCTGGAAGGGGGCCTCTACCTTCTTGAAACTGTCACCTGGAACATAACACTACTCCTAGACATTCCCTGTGCATTATTCCCTTAATTCACAGAAAGAATGAAAACATAAAGGTACTTTAAAATATGAATTCACAGTATGGCAGCATCTAGATCCAATATTCATTTGGGTTGATAATGAATTGGATGAGCTGTAGAGATTCAGATACAGAAGAATGATAGCCAGCAAGGAAGATTCATCATACCATCATTTAGAGGAAAAAAAAAAAAATCAGAAAAGCAATCTGGTCATGACTAGTCATAGCTCAAAACATCATAGAGATGATTTACCTGAACCAGCTATCTCTCCCTACTCACTCTGAAAGTAATACAGCCTCTTGTCCAACAGGTAATACTGTGGAGAACTCTCTTTTTGTATGACACTACTGCAGGCCATTCATTTTGCTTCCCCTCACACAGTATGTTGCATCAAGCTTACAGCAGAAAATAATGTTACAGGTTTCTTTATAGACTTTTGCTGAAAGTTTACCCTACATGCATCAGACAGAGCAGGAAGTGCTATAAAATTCATAGCACTTCTTGTGTAGCAAATACACGAATGTTACATCCCAGCCTTGGCTTTAAAATCAAGATTTGGGATGAAATCAAGGAGCTCATTATAAAAACAAACATGAAGATGGCAAGTAAGTGGGTGTATCTTTTGAAAAAGCCTGATGCATAAACAAATGAATTTTCTTAGAAAACATTTTAAATGCCAAGCACCTATGCATGAAGCTCTTGCTATCTCTTCTAGTATGTGCTGAAGCAGATGAATTGTTCCTTCTCTTTTTACAAGAGTTTGGTAATCTAGAATACTTCCAAAATTAACAGAAAAATATTGTATTATCTTGATTTGGTTGAGAGTATATCAAGACTGGGATTGACAAGGTAGTAGAGGTGCATTCCTAGAGAATTAAATATTGGACAGAGAGAGAAATTTCATCTGAAATTTTTATATGGGCTACACCTGACACCTGCTAAGTCTTCTCCTTTTGGCATTAGCCATTCAAGCCTTTCAAAGGCAGCCAAAACTGTGTCAGCAACTGATCCTACTACAAAAAGTCATTGGGGAAAAATCATTTGCCAGTTAAAAGCCTCATCAATATATTGTACATTTCATGCAAAACAGCCTAAATCCTTATTGCCCTCATGGGTAATTTTGTACTTGTTGAATTTTACTTATTTTTCTCTTTAGTATAATTGGGATGATTACTAAAACTGCTTTGGCAGCTCAAAAGCATTTGGAGAGTGTGGTTCTTCTGAGCCTTGTCCTAGGATTTGTCATGGAATCACAGAATGGATTCCAACCTCAAGGATGGAGACTAAACAAACTGTGCCTCACAATAAAATAAAAAAAATATTTATCATAGACTATTTTTGTCATGTAGGCGTCAAATCAGAGGGATTTCAAGATTCTGATCTGAGGGTTTGACGCTTTTTTGTTCTGTTGTGGATTTTTCTTCTTGTAACTTTTAGATTTGAAGGTAGAATTGTACACAACACTCCAAAACTGTGTTCTTTAATGAAGACATCTGGAAATGCCTTTGCACCCTTGAAAACCTAAAGTAAAAAACATAACCAAATAACTTCACTATCAAGCTGTACATAAAGTCAGTTGATTACATAATTTATGTGATCTGAAGTTTAATAATTCAGAAGAATCTGCTTTTTTTCTTGGCCACAAAGTACAGTTTTGTCATCAATGTCAATGAGGCTTAAGTCAGTATGTTTTTACTGACAATTTTCTGGGTTTTATGTTGACAATTAGAATTTAATTTTTCCTAACTCAATACAGCTAGATTACTACAGAGACTTCATTATAGCCACAGGCAGGACAGCAGCTGAGGTACAAAATTTTCTCCCTCTGATGCCTGTGCTTACTAAACACTTACTGAAACAGTTGTCTATAAAAGGACAATAAATGTTTGCATCTTGGATATTTTCTCTCCAATAAAATTATCACTTCACAAAAATTAATATCAGTCACCTGATACAAGCTATTACCATTATTACTTAGTGTGAGCATTTATGGCTGCTCTGTTCAACATATTTAATTGTAATGTTCTCTGCACAATGAAGTTCACAGCATGTTAAAAGAATAAATAATCATGTAATGAATAGAATCCTACTTTTTACCACTGTTCTGTGACTTGAAATATTTCTAAATAATAATAATGTGCTATACTGAATTTTCAAGGAAGCTGGATTCAAATCCAGCTGAGGCTTGATTTTTCTCAAAAAATATGCCTTTCTACAGTACATTTTCAAAACCAAACCTCATTTCAGTACATTTTAGTGTATTTTTAAAAGAAGCTTTTGTTTTAAGAACTTACTCACTATTTCAGTTTATTTTGCTTTATAGTCATCTAACTTTGCATATGGTGTTTTAGAACAACTTTTTGAGGAGTTCTATCTAGCTACACTGACTATTAAGGATAACCTTAATCAAACTAGGTGGGATCACTGAAGTCTAGTAACAGCAACACAAGATTCCATATAGCTGAGTTGTCTTAAAGAAAAGCAGATGCCTAAGGAGAGAGACTGCTGAAAGATACTGCAGCGTTCTGCCCTACCACCTGTGATAAGTCCCTGGAACTTATCTCAAAATACTCCTTCTGCTAGACAAAGAGATAAATTTTGTCTTAAATAAATTCTAAAAGACTAATAAAATAGCAACAAAGTCAGGAAAGCTACAGCAAACCATTGGATCCCAGTTTAAAAACGCACCACTTTTCTCTTAGACCTGGTGGGCTCTCATCCCTGTTGCTCTACATATCACAGTAAGGCACAGAACACTCACAAGTGCTAGGACCAGCACTTTACATCTGCTCAGCTCCTTCTCTTAAGGCCACTGAGAAGATAAGATGAATAATGTCTTTGCTAAGGATATTTCATGAGGAGAAAACTTGGCAATCACATCAATGGAAGATGACAGGACCAATACTTCTGTGGCTTCACAAAAACTGGAGGTAATTTTCCTCTGTGAATGACACATTTTGTTAAATCAGTTTCAGTAGATGGTGGCAAAAGTGTAATCTTCAAGGGTCAGGAAAGATGTTTTAAGAGTGGCAGATTCACCAAACTCAGCTGGACTGGAAGTAGAGGTGGAATGAACACTTTATGAGGAATTACCTTTGTTAAACAGGTAATTTCTGCCTGTAGTTTGGAGACTAAATTTCTTGTAGGGTAATCATGTAGTCCACAATGAAAGAAGAGGAAAGATAGGAAATATGAACAAAAACCTGAATTTCTAGAAAGATGGAAAATAAGCTTTTAAGTAGTCATCCTTTTCCTCTTATTTTCATATATGTGTAGCACAACTCCATTGTATGGCTAGAAAACCAATACTTGTCTGAATCCACATACTTGTCTTTTCAGGCCTAAAATACATAACTCCGTAAATTCATATGAAAAATAACATGGACCAGAGTACAGAAAAAGCTGCATTTCGTAAGTGCTATGATATGAAGAACAGGAGTATTTCTTAAAAAGACACTGATTACATTTTGGGTTTTACTTTTATTTGTTGAGCTTCTTCAGTAATGTACACAGGCACAGCTACACTGATTTTTTTTATCAGTTTTACCTTAATGAGAATTTAATGTCCTCATATTCAATATTAATAGATTCTCCATCTCATGAGGATATTTTTTAATCAATAGTAATCACAATCATATAGATAAGTAATCATAATTATATCAATATGCAAACTAAAGGTGTTATTGGTGTTACAGTAACAAGCATGAATCAAATCTTACTACCATCCAAAGCTCTAAAACTATAAGCTATATTTTGCCTGTCTGCCTGATAAGAGTACAGGCAGAAAAGAGATGAATTCATCTTAATAGAAGATGGAATCCACCGTGAGAATTAGATTTAAAAATACATATAGGTGTGTAAATATAGATAGATGATCTAGATATAGATAGATAGACAGATACACATACAGTAATCTCTAATTTTATAGCACCTACCTACCAATATGGGTTCCTGCTCCAGTCTAAAAGAATAACAGTTTTAAAAATTTAACAAGAGAGTTATTTTATCAGGTGTTGAAAATATTAACATTCTGGTCATGACTTTTTTACCAAGATAACACAAAAACCTAAATTCTTAAAATACTCTCAGAATAGAGATTTAAGTAATAATCTATAAGTTTACCCTGTATTTCAGATGATACCATAAAGCTATGGAGAACACCTAGGTGGATTGTGCAGAAATGAGGAATGTAAGTTTACATGTTTTTAATTTCATATAATATACAGGACTAAGACTCTAATTTGTTTCCCTTTTTGTCTTCAGCATTTCCTTCCTTTAATTAGCTTATTCATCTTCCTTGTTACTAATGGATGCAACCCTGATCAGCAGTTTTATAATTTATAAAAGTGGTTTCACTGTGATGGCTTGTATCTGTGCCTGACTCTTTATGAACCATCTTCACGGCATCCTAATACTGCAACAAGACTACTCATCTGTCTAGCACTCACATGACCAATGACATCTCACCAAAAAAAAAATCCAATACCAAGAGATGCTGAACATGAAGTGCAAATTGTAAAACATTCAAGAGAAAGGAACCTTCAGAATTGTTTTCATCAGTGACCTAAAAGCAGCATTAAAAGTATATCACTGGAAAAATAATTTTTCTTATTACATGAAATTTGAAATTATTTCTTACTGCACTTTTAAAACTATATTCAATGACTAAACAATTTAGTTCTGTGCTTGAAAGTGCAAAAAAATTTTGACTTTCTTTTCAGATGTTAGTTGATCTTTTGCAAAGAAACATAACCATTCTGGTTGCAAGCTCCCAAATCATTTAAGATCCCTAGATGAAAAAGATCTTAATAATATTTTCCAAACTTATTTGAAACAGGGTTAAGAATGTTAAAGATGTAGTAATAATTACAAAAAGCAGATCTAAACTCCTAAATCCCCCTGGCAATATTTTTCATCAAAAATGGAATCACACACTTTATTACCAGAATAATTTCCACCTTTTCACTTTCTCTATTTTACTTCTGTTTGCATTTGCTTTTTCCTGAAAATACATGCAGAAGAACATTCATTGACCAATAGTCAACTTGTTTGGATTTAGCAAGATACTAAATCCAAATCAAGCTTCCTTCCTGAGAAGGAAGCTCAATCACACAAGAGTTTCCTTATTTAAAAGGGGTTTCAAGTACTTACAAATAATGAAGACATTTAATATGTAATGATTCTATCATACATTTCTTCCATATTCACTAGCTAAGTTGGCAGTACCGAGAATGTTTTATTTTACTTTTTTTTTTCTTTGAGCAATTAATAGGATGTTACCATATCATGGGTTAAACAACATGAGTGAACTCAACTTCCAGGTGAAAAATATCCAATCCTTTCAGGTACTGTGGGAAA